TCGAACTCTATTAACTGATAGATATGTGCATGTTTGTGATTAAAGGTTTCACAACGAAATTTCTTCACGTTTCCTGATTTCCTTCTAATCCAACTGATTTGATTCGGTTAGCTCAGACTTACCCGTATTATAGTTACATTCCAATGTATAGCAGTGAATAAGGCCAAGATGCTTCCAAATAGCCACTCGACCCGAGCCTTCTTTAGTCATAGTTCCTTTTCGATCTTTCTGGTACATGTTTCGCAAACTGAAGTTGCAGGCATTGAAATCGAAGTATATCGAGTTTACACCGACCAGTAAGGCATATAGGACGTTATCGATCTATGTATACATTTCGAGATAGAAAAGAACGCAATCAGAATTCGAGATGCATGGAAAGGGAAGGGATTGTATCAGAAATGCAATTTCCTTTAGGTAATGGGGTTTAGCAGAACAGTTCAATGATTGCAAAACACACCGTTTCGCACCCATATTTTTGTTGTGAAAGATTTTAGCATCCTTTTGTACAATAAAAATACAATAAACGTTAAAAATAACAGGAGTGAATTAAAGCAGTAACGCAATGGGCTTTGTTTGAACGGGGTTTTCTATCGTAACACAACCTTGTTGCACCATTTCTCATTATTATGGCATCCTTTCCCAATTGTATTTGCTCATTCTAAGTCCCATTGTTTTTCCGAAGATTACATTGGCTCTTCACTATATGAAGCCATTTCGATCAGCACTACCGTAGACTTAAAAACGACGAATCTGACGCGGGTGGACTGGCGTTCACAGAATGAAATAAAATGTAATCCGGCTAAGAAGCGCATCATAAAGGATGACGGAAACCCGTACGGCCACTCATTTTATTCACCAGTTTTTTATACTGATTTAAACTGATAATCCTTCAGACTTCTCCTTTACTACACATTCCTTAGTACATCCATTCGATAGCACACCTTGGGAGTTTAGGTCTTGTTAGAGCTGATCAGTAGGGATCATCCATCGTCCAATCCGAGATTTGAGGTCCAAACACCTGGTATGGAAAGCATTTGTGTTGCCACTGTGACAACCCAATCACATCGAAAAAATGAACTAACTGACAATCACTGAAGGTGACATCCAAACAAAATTTAATTGGAGAGTACCTCCAGTCTTGATCAATAGCGTCCCAAAGTGCTACCTACAATTAAATTTTCTAACACTTGAGGAACTGGCAGTGTATATTAGTAAATCAGTGCAGATATCATTCCTTTTTACACTAATTCTTGCGTTATTACGTCCAAAGTTGGAGTGATTTGATTTTTCTCTCATCAACGAACGTGATGAAAAGATATTCAGAATAGAATACTAGAAGCAGGACAAGGAAACGTTTATACTCTATAGAGGATGTAGAAAATAACAATGTGCTCGAGGAAGCTGTCACATATTAATCGTCTGTTTAATCACCTGATATCTCCGGTCAAATAAAAATGGAGGCTACATTTACCAACCGTTAAACGAGTATTTGGTTTGTCGAAAACAAAATTTTAGCCGTGAAAAGCAATAAGCGGACTATGGGCTGCCTTCGCGATTACGACACATACGTATGGGAACTCGATGTAAGCCAAAGGACCGAATTTGGGTATAAAAACAACTGGTTTATTGAAAAGGTGTGCGCGTGTGCCTGAAGAAATCAAACAACGATTGTTTAACGTCCGGACTAGGGTATACGGGATAGGTCAGGTAGTATAACCCACAATAGTTGATATTATGTGCTAACTAATTTGAAGCAAATCGATTGCATTTTAGACATACAATTAATCCTCTTTTTAAATCACCATCCTTGTTCATACAATAACCGTGAGGATCGAGTCAGCTGATCAAATAATAGGTTGATTGAAGAGGGCTGTTTGTTAGATCAGTCAGTCATCTCACATGTATGCACACATCAGTATGAGATATCAAAACATATTGTAGTTTGATGGAATTCAACAACCGCCGAACCACATCTGGATTGATCAATAAACACCAGCATAAGCAGTCGAATGCTGTTTATTTCTTTAAATTTCCGGTTCAATTGATTTTCGTGTTATAGTTTTGTGGTTTTGCAGTTAAGTGAGGAAAACATACTGTTTTGATGTACATAGCCTCAAAAAAGAAAGAAATCCTGCACTATGATCTGCATTATGATAGTGCTCAACCAGTACTATTGGGCCAGTTCTAAGAAGACATATTTCAACCGGCGAGTGTGAACTTAACGAACAACGTTGCTAAAAATCGATCCGAGTGAGACTTGTTTACACAACTGAAACTTACCTATCCTTGTGTACAATGAGAAAATAATACCACAAAGAGTGGATCCATAAAGCAGAAAATCTGAGCTGTCTTTTGGATAGAAAGACTATCTCTCTACATCAAAGCCCACCTTCTGGTATTTCAGAAGTCTGTCCATCTGTTATCGTAGGACGAGGAGAGTCAGTATGTCAATTTGTTTGTTTTTCACAATGATACAAGGCGGCAACTTGTCACAGGTGGGGAAGATGCTAGCACTCAGATAGTTGCTCGTTTGTATCGAGCCTATTGTTATGCTCTGGGGACTATAAAAAATCCGGGCTGATCGCTGTGGAATGACCGTCAACTATCGAAAGTCTTAAAAGATGTGAACACTTGTGGGTTCAGCAGGAAAGCATGGAAAATGCCGAATCTTTCGATTCACATCTAACAGAACAGTCAATACAAGAGCAGTTAAACACAGCTTCAACAAGCATGTTTAACAATAACTGTGAAGCCAAATACTTCAATAATCCCTCTCCCTGAATAACAAACAGACGAGGCATGTGAATCCTTTCATTTGTTATTGAATTCTACACCGATTATGATAATCCGAATGCCACGTTTGTTGGACGCACTAATAGACGAGTTCAATCTGAACATATCGAACAGATTACATTACAACCAGTATGATCTCCAGGGGAAAAGAGATATTAAATAAACAAAATAATGCAAAACATCGGTCATGTTCTGGGGCTGTTTTCCACAGCCAGTTTGAATGAGTTGGAAATTTTGGACGACAACCAAAGTTCAACGCACTATACAGAAACACTAAAGAATCTTTCCGTCATTCAGAACATCGAAGGTGGTTGGAACAGGATCTGTTCAAAATAACAACTACACCACCAAAACACGTCATAAATTACAAGGATATGGCTAATTTTTCGTATCCACATTTCGATATGTTCCGCCCGTTGTCCTAATTTCAGCTCAATTGAGAATCTCTGAGGATTTTTAACTAGGCAAATGTATTGAAATGCCACGTTGTATGGTTCTCTTGATTAACCGGAAACCAAGATAAACGCAGAATGGTAAAATACTGGCACTGTATTTTGTAAAACGTTTATCAGTAGGATGTATAATATACTTCCACATGGCGATGCTTGGTCGAGGATAGTTGTTTATTGCAGGTAACAGTTAGGATATCACTTGAAACATATCATCGCAGTTCTTGGCAGCGCATCGGGTAGAGAATGGAGCAGTCGGTATTTATTATTTGTGACACAGAAACCTGATTCGGTGGTCTTGCTAATTTTTGATCGTCGAATGAAACCATCAACCGCGTTATGCATGCTACTCACAAATGTGAGTAGCACCTCAGAACTTGTAGAAAGGATGTATAGAGGTTTGGGAGGAAAAAGGACGGATCCGCTGAGGTAAAATAACTCATATTACCAAAGCAATTAACCAATATTATTTTTGCACTGTATGCGGGTATATTAGTGAATAAAAATTTTATACTTGTTCCTTTTCCGGATTTTTTCACATTGGCCCAGAATTCGGTGGACACTGTATAAAAGGTGAACGTTATGGTGTTCTCATTGTCAAAGCTGAATCGAAATATCTGTATCTCCCTATAGTTTTAGTGCGCACTATAGATACATGTGTATATAATTGGAAGGTGACATAATATGATCTTATGGGAGACTTTGATTTGATGTCGATCAAATTGATTTCTCGGTGCCTTTCGTAAAAGGACATTTCTCTTCTCATGTTCATTGATAAAAAGACATTCATATTCACTTTTTGGACTATATTTGTTATGTTTTACGAAAATCGCCAGTTTTCTAAACGAGGAATTCGTCTTATCAATGAATCAGACTGAAAATGGTGTCCCCAAGTTTCATACTGTTCAACGTAATATTTTATTTTTCCAGTCTGTGATCGATTGCAGTTCCCGTGGTTGCGGCACTTGGAACTGTAAAATGTTTTCAAGGTGTTTCAGTGGTACATTTTTAACACAACTTCCCAGTATTATGAGCATGATAAAAATAGATTAAAAATCTTAATCTTCCTTTGTCAGTCTGCGTTGTGAGGAGACCTTGACGATTGGTGTTTGTGTGTGCGTGTAAGAGGAACACGTCCCGACAAAGCAATTATATGTATTGAGCCCAAGAAAATTACACAAATAATATTACGCTACTGTTAGATGTTAGCAGTAGTCTGATTGGAAAGTGAAAAATGTATAGACATTCACCTGCAATGAATGTCATTGTAGCGATGGAATGATGCCTCTGGAACCTCATTCATATATCTTCCGTGATAAAAATTCTTTATTTGTAGTAAGTATTATGAATCTCCTGATAATAATCGCAAGTTTAAACGTAGCTGTAGAAATAATTTTGTCTCTACCTTCAATAATGAAGTTTAAACGCTACAATATAGACCAATCAATTGGATGCTTATATAGACCACGGTTCTCGATATTCGAATAGGAGTGGGAAGAAATATTAGAATGGAAGAAGAATAACTGCATGTAGAGATAAAATGAAAATTGCAAAACAGTTCAGGATTCAAAACAGAATCGTACCATTTCATCCTCTTTTTCCAACCAATTTCCATATAAGAAACATCCGCGTTTTGAACAGTGTCCGTGCAGATCCACATAGAGGGCCACTCCACTGGAACTGGGCTTGATCAGACGCAAATCAGCTTCAGCCAGATGTGCTCCTCGTCTGAGTTTCATCAACTGATCGTAAAGATACTGAATTCTGGTTTCTTTCACTTTTTCACAAGCTGAACGACAACTCAAGTCATATCCCGTGGTTACAAGTGATTTGATTCGATTCAGGAGATTTTCAAACTGCGGATTGATGGCAAAATCTTCCGAAATGTCGGACTGCTCTATTTTCTGGAGTTCACGGCCGGCATCTGATAGTCCACAAAACAGTTCAAACATAAAAAACATGAATTGGCTAACGAAAATACTTAGGAAAATCGGCTGATTTCCCAAAAGCATATATTCCAAAGCTTAAATTAGACCACTAATGACGTGTATTCATTAAAAATTTCGCAGTTTACACAGGGATCTTACTAATTTGACTTTAGCAGCTTGAGTTTTCTTGAAGGATGCCTTAGTTATCGATATGGGGGTCGTTAGTGGAGGCGACCTTTGTAACACTTTACCTTTCGGGTCAAAATTTACGATTTGTTTGTCAGTCTTCATCTGTCCCAATGCACTATTGTTCCAGAATATTGAGTCATTCTGTTCTGTGCGGGTCAAATAAGGAAACGGTATGTTGAGCGAGGATAGACATTTGGTCATTCAAAAGTCACGGCGATTGGTCAAAAGGGAGAGGAATGGCTGAATTTCTATCCTCGTTCAACATGCCATTTACTTATTTGATCTATACAGGCTAGGAGATGAATAAATGAAAACAACTGTTCGCCTCTGAACATGTGTTCCCACTATTATTCAACAATTATTCTTTAGTTACTCGTCATCGGTTGAATGCAATCATGAACCGGACGCAGCCATTTTGCATTCAGTTCTATGAGTTGTATACCCCGTTAGATCGGAAGTTAGCTTTACTATCGTCCGGTTCAAAACCACACCTAACCTGGCGGGGCTCTATGTGGTTCGCCACTCCAAGTCGCGGGGCTTAGGTTACCGGTTTCCATCACAGAACAGCGGATCTTGGTGGCTATGGGGCTTTCCCCGTCTGCTCTTCATCACACTAAGATGTGTTATAAAAAGTCAACTTCAAACATTTCACATCACAATGACTGAGTATAGACACTGTGATGTGAACTGAGGTTACCCCGGTAATGATATTTTACTGATTACTCGTATAATGTTGTTCACAGAAACAAAGCAAGATCCATAAAGTAGATATCACGCTATCGAAAGATGTCCCAGGCTTTCGTTTCATCACACGACAGACCAGCTTGAATTTAATCTGATATTACACTGTTTGACAATAATTCCATTCATTTTATGCCCAGTTTGATGAATTTTACATCACAAAAAGAGACCCAATGACAAATTACCTGGAAACATAATCGGGTTAGCTCTTGGCAATCGACGATAGGGTGTAACAGACTTGATTTTACACAATCTAGGTTATATATATTTTTTACCACAAATAGTATATGTATACCAATGCTGATCCCAAAGATTCCAAAGACTGCTTGTTGTAATCAATGCATGCACAGTGCTGGTTTAACGTCAACTGATCCAGTTCTGACATGTAGTTAGCCGTTATCATATAGTTGAGCTTATGACGCAATAATAGCTGAATTAGGAGCAAAAAATAGTGGCGGTGTCCATGCCACACTATTTTATTTATTCAATTTTTTTTTACTTCGTGCAAACTTTGTACGTGTGTGCTCCGGTTTTGGTAATTGTATTTCGGCCATCCATCTGATGGTCAATCAATGATGACAAGCATCAGGTCAAACGTGAATTGGATAATGCTACTTGAGTATAGATGTGGTATGCAAAGAAAACCTGCTGCGTACGGAAAGTGAACAGACATAGGATTAATGCTATTTAATCAAATTACCTGTTGTGTCCACAACCCTTGAATTGTTCAATCCCATGGACCCCAATTGGGAGGCCTGATATAACCTACAGGATTACATCCTTAGTCAACGTCATTATCTCATTGTACCAGGGCATAGCATGTTCAATTTCAACCTTCCTCTGGACATTTCCCATGATCTTTATCCAGTCACTAAGCGCACTGGAAAATCTCATACATCGAAGTAGCCCATCAGGTGGCATGCATGACGTATGCTGTAGTCATTCTTGTCGCGATTACCTAACCCTTTCGCCCAACTTTGGCGTTGCTCCCCGTGGAACCGATCAGAATCAGACTGTGCTGTATAGATATTTGTACTCGAACACCGACTGTTGACGTTTATTCTTTACATCCCACGGCTGGAACATATATTCGAACTGATAGAACACTTGATTCATCAGGAATAAATGGATATCTTAAGGATGCCACGGGTGACTCAACCTGGTAAGTGTTTCATGAACTTTCACGAGTGTTTCCTGTTTGATGAAAATGAAACAGTAATTTGACTGCAGTTATAAAGATATAGTGAAAAATATTTAATTCCTTTATTACGTCCAGTGAAATAGTAACAATGGAACCACGTGAAAGCGTTTTACACCTTGAAGGTACAAAAAGCGAGGTGCAAACTCAACCGGTTCATCAAATGAAGGTATAACCTATTCTGACTTAGTGTGAAGATGCGAAAACCTTGAGTAATAAATCAGGTCCGGATCTGAGTTCCTGTTTGTGAGCTACGGAATCAATGGAGTCGGTGACTAACAGAATCAGGTAGTGAAGCTGCATGTGATACTCAAGAATCTACGCACTTCCCTCATCTATACGTGCCCCGTTGTTTCCCATTCTCATGTGGTTTCCACCTAACCCATGATTTATTTATTTATCTGTTTCCTGGTTAAACATCTACAAAAGCCGGAAAACAAAAGAGAACACGAAACACTGAATTAATGATTGTTTGGATGGAACAAGAATACACGATTTGAGTTACTGACGAGCTACAAGAGTTATTGCAACAATCCGAGAATGGGTGGATCTAATCATTTCTGATAATTGTCCTCGTATTATTAGCAATCTTGAATTAGTGCAAGAGAAGCATGGATTAAAGGTACAGTGAACGACATATAGCCTAAATCAACGAAAATAACAGGACATCATAACAATGATTCTCATGATGCGGAAACTCGTGATTGGTTGACTAATTTTCTATTACATAATCTATTTATATCCGTTTTTAATTAATTTCTGACAGTGCCACAATGAACTGTTCTCCTATTTGGAGTTATGTAACCACCATTAGCTTTGTAACATTAGCAGCTGATCGACTTTCTTGGTATGGTAATTTTTTCCTGTTCCCCTCAACATGTTCGTTCACTTACCTCCAAATGTCTTTGTTAGGGACTCACAAATCAAACTATCTTCATTTGACCTACCATAATTATGTAAATGTCCATATATGGTATTCTGTTGATAACCTACTTTTTGTATGTATACAACCGATTTAGAGTACGAGAAATTGATGGGCAATATCACTTCTACTTATATTGTGTTAATTATTTTATTCAAACCCAATAATGCAACTCAAAACCGTAATGTGTTCGTGTTTTGCGCAGGGTTATCGGGTTTTATTTAAATCCTTATCATCTAGGAAACTTGTCGGTATAAGTCGATCGATAAGTCAGAGAGAAAATAGCGCCGTTCAGTACTCTAATCTTAGAACTAAATTATTCATAATTATCTAACTTCTCACAACCTGGTTAGATGCCTCATCGGTGATACCATGTCGCGATATGCGTAATTGTAATGTGACTGGTCTTTTTCTAGCTAGTTTACTGATCAATGTATTTATCAGAACGACACACTTTCTCACATAAAATCTGGTGATACCTAAGAAATATGCCATGCAATAAGTCTATTCATTTGTGCCAGACGACCGAATTTGATAGAACAGTGAATATTTTTAAATTTACTTAAAGGAAAAAATCCGTCCGTCACATATGCAAATTGTCTTTGTTTACACCCCGTAGATATGGCATCCACTACACAGCAAAATTCGCGCTGACTTGCATGTCACGTGTTTTATCCGGCCAAACAACCACGTGATATCACGTGTCACTGCGAGCAAGCTTTCCATTGATCGTTAACGTGAATACATTTCTTAGCAAAGAAATAATTTGGCAACTAGCTGATCAGTGGCATGAAAACGGCACGAGTCAGTCATTCAGCCGATGGTTGAGAACCACGGTTCTACTTCAGACTACATCCTAATTTAATCGTGTAGCAAAGCAACTTTGCACTATTGTATGCCCTCCACAGTAACCAAAGTGTGAACAGAATCATGATGGGGAAATTTTAGTCCACATTTAAGTCAAGAAAACACGGTAAATTAATATTACTGATGAGATTGACATTCTGTTTCAAGCTTGGCCTTCTCACTGGATGATAACTGATGCCCATTTCAATGACAAAGTCGAGTGAGAGTCCGAATGTTGGAATTGGTAGCAAGGTGAAGACAACAAATAAAGTACGTAGACATCCGTGTGATTACGTTCTCGATACAACCCGAAGACTGGCGGTTTGAGCTGGAGAGTTCCAGTGCAGACAAAACAACTAGCAGTCACTGCACAAGAATTCCAAAGCAAATAAGATACGTTTCACGTGAGAACTGACTGATCTCACAAGTAAAAGCTCACAATCAAAACGCACGAGGAACAGTGCCTGATATCTGTGATAGTCAACTAGACTAATTCGAAACAAACTAGTCGAAGGTGTGAAACCTTATTTTCTGGTTATTGTTCAAAGAGATAAAGATTTCTAAATATTAGAAACAGACGTTTTGAAGATAATAAAATTGAGAAAAAACAGTGCATCTGCGAATGAATGGGCATTAAAAAAATGTATTGCGAATTTCGTCGTATAAAGTGCCAATGAAATATGAACTGAAAATCTGGGAAGCACTGCACAATTGTTTAAACCTGGTTGGGTTTTATTGGCAATGCAAATCCATCAACCCAACAAGGGATCGAAACCGGACTTCACAAGTAGATTGCAAGTATACTATCCACTCCGCCACTGGGCAGTTGATCAGACCGTTTTTGAGTTTCTTTATAAATGATATATGGCATCACCCAACTTGGCAAGTTTGTTGCGGGGATTCGACCTCGCTCATCTCAGCTTCCGGGGTTATAACTCGGTTTCCAAACTTTCCAAACCTGACTGTCGTCTATTCCTTCCGTAAGATGAAAATGGATCGACAAAAGACAGCAGTTAAAACCAGAAAATCGGTTATCGTGTCTTTGGTGGCTGGCTGGGGACCCCGAGGTCACGGTCACCAATGGTTGGAGACACTGAGCGATATGGCTGGGTGTCGCGAACAGTGGCGCTCATGCATCTACTCATTATTCTTGCAACTTCAGTCTACGAAAATGTGCTATCTTCCGCTTGAATCTGCTCTCAACACCCTGATCATCATTCTGCTGTTTTATCCAAATGGGTAACCAGAAGACAGCAACCAAAACCGATACATGAAAATGCATGGTTATTGGTTGTAAAAACGGAAACTGGTGTGATAGTTGTTAAAAAAGGAAATAACAAAAAAATAAATAGTAATATGTTCAAAGCAGTGATATTTGCATCCAGACCGGCGGAATCTAGACAACCCTTGAGAACATTGGTATAAAATAAACTAAATAAATGAAATAAATAAAACTAAAAACCAAAGAAACACCTGTTTAAAATAAAAATAGCAACGGTTAAAAAACATCATCTAGACTTCAGGTCGTAGATCTTTGCTTTGTTTTGAAAACTAGTTTGTCAACTAAAACTCACTTGCAAGAGTAGATACGGTTGGATATGATTGATTGTGCATGAGTGCTTTCTTGATCGAAAGAAACAAGTTAATCCCGAGAATGGTCGAACTGCGGCGATACAGAGGATAAAACTGAATGGAACCAACGGGGAATGTATCAAATTGCATTCAGTTTGATACATTCCCCGTTAGTTCTATTCAGTTTCATCATCTGAGCCGGATGGCAAAAAACGGATCGATAGGCGAAATCAAGTTATTTGCCGGGGTTCTTCGATTAGGAATGCACTCAACTTTAAGCAATCTCGGGGATAACTGTCTCTTCGGTGAACGCACGATTGAAAAGACATTTGAAGAAAAGACAATTGAATCGATGCCCAAAGTAGTTTTGAAAAATCTTGAGACGAAGTCAAATCAACCCAAATGCGAGAAATTTAAAAAGAATTTCCGAGTCATTTCGTATCCATTCGATCCAGAATCGGTGAAATGAGAGGAAACGTAGTACAGAGAGAACCCGTGGTCGGCAAATTATCTAAGATTATGAGGACTGATTTCGTGATAAATGCAAGTAATATGATCAGAACTAGGAGTGAGAAGCCGAAATCCTGGGTTTACTCGCTGCTCGCGCCAAATTTTCGAGCAGTCCTGAAGTTTACGCTTCCAATTAATCGGATAAGGTATTGACGAAAGATAATCTTCTTAATTGATTAATTTTACTTCCTTTTTATTGAATACACAACGATGCAATTTTCAGGAAAGGGGAAGCGGCCAATCAAAGGGTTACCATCCAACACACAATGGGCGGAGTCAGACGGTGGTGGTGCGTTTCGAACACACATCCCCGGGGTGATAATTTGGTGACGTTACCATCGGGCCACCACCGCCGACTAAAGAGCTGTTAGAAGTTCTATGGATTGGAGTAGAATTCTGTGACAACCGTTCCCCAAATCGGTGAATTGGAATTGAGAGACAAATAGAAAACCTGATAACAGAAACCTGAGTTCCACAACCAACATCGTTCCTGCGATCGGACTATTTCGAAACAGCTGTGCTAAATACATGCTACTCATATTTTCAAACAGAAAGCAATGTTACCGGGATCTTGACAAAACATCAGAGTGAAATACGGAAGCAACTTGACCAAAACAAGGAACTAATGATTTCGGGGGCTGAAAGAGATGCAGGAATAGCATTATTGAGCAAAACTGATTGCTCTAAGAAAACGGAGGCAATTCGGACTAATGAGACTAAATTTCAGCAACTCTACAGGGAGGAATAGGATAATATAAATGCTATTGAGAAGCAACTAATGATATTGCTGAAGAGATCACAGGTTAAGAACCTTTTCACACCGACAAAATTTGCA